CCATTGCACCAACCCCCCACTAGTGATGACGTACCATTACAATGTATCCCTGGTTGGTGGCCATGTTTGCGTGCTTGCTTGTCGTTAGTGGTCTCTCCACCGTGTGCCTTTTTCTGTCTCTTATTTCTTGTTATTTTCGGCCTGGTCGCCTTTTGTCCTCGCTCTTTTTACTTCATTTTCTCTTTACTGTTTCCTTTATTTTCTTCTCTTTTTCTCCTTTCTCTTTTTCTCTTTTTCTCTCTTTTTCTGTGCCAGATGGCCTTGTCTCTGCTTGCGTTGTGATGTACCAAGATTGAACTAAGGGGGTGTACCTCATTCTCTCCGGCCCGTGATGGTGACCCCTAGTCTCAGTTGTTACCTCGCATAGCGCGCAGAGGGAGTGGAGGACTCCAGAATATCTGTCGTTGATTTCTATTGACTTGCGGACCCCTCGGGGTCATTTTCCTTGAGTGTACCTTTCTAGGGTAAGTTAGCCTGCGACCACGGGAATCGACCGCGTCGAGTGTTGTATCAGTACGGACATACGAAGGTACTGGGTAGCGAGAGATCGGAACGTTTTTTTATGTGAAGAAACAACAACAACAACTGTACGACACACGCAGACCCTCCAGCTTCGATTACGGGAAGGCCGTGATCACCGATATCTCGACGACTTCTTGACGAGCTGTCATGAACGGTATCTGGAAGGAGGTGATGCCATGGGCTGTTGGGTATCGCCAAAGTTTGGCGCCGTGAGGTGCCGAATGCGCCGGGGAAAAAAGTTCGCACTAGACTAATGCAACGACCGTCAGCGGCCGCGAATCGGTTACTGATAACTTTCCGAAGGAGGAAGCAACAGCAACAGAGAGGCCACTCGACGGGAGGCAACTGTCTGCTCCATCTTCCATGCCCAAAGTTTGGTGCCGTGGGGATTCGTACCCTTTGGGAAAATGTTTTGGTTAACCCTAAATACTCACGTCAGAGAGCGATTGGTTCAACTTTGCGGGGATTGCGTGCTCATGATTTGGTTCTCCAGCGACAACTTTTTGAAGGAAGAGTGTATTTGGAGGAGGCAACAGCGACAGCAGCAGCAATGAATGCCACCGAGGGATGTGGCTCTACCCAGCATCTCTCTGGTACCAGGTTAGGTACCTTGAGGTATCGCGAGTGTGGAGAAAAATGATTGTAACTACGTCTAGTCTACACATGTAGTTTTGTTTCCGCACGAACGACAAATAGACTATATCAGAGAGATCTCTTCCGGCTCCACCACGCCTCCTGGTTCCTGTTGCGCCCGGAGTGTCCATGTGTGATGCATAGCCATTATCCACCACCGGTTGTCACGTTGTTCGCGGGGTTTACACTCCTATGACAATTCGGTGCATCCCACGCGCCTGACCTCACCTGGCATGCGATGTCATATATATGCATAGACTATATAGCTTCGGTGGCGGGGCAGGGGCAGGTCACCGCTGCCGAGGTGGAGCGGGCGGTGGCCGAGGCCATGAAACGGGAGTATCGAGACTTTCTCCGCACGCAGCAGCAGCAAGAGGAACAGTACACGCAGTACATGGTGCAGAAAAATCAGTTGTTCCAGCAGCAGCAGCAGCAGCAGCGGCCGGCGCAACCGGTGGGCCTCACGGGGTACCCATGGAATACCGAGGTGGGAGGGGGGGG